GTCACTTAAGGGAATACAATTTTAAATGATAGATCTCATTCATAATTGCATGTGTTTGTATCTAAACCCAATAGTGAGGTCATTTATTGAGTATTTATTGAGAACCCGATATATCCTAAAGATCTATCAATGAGTAGTGCAACTCAAACTGGCCTGATTTGGGTCTGTTTCGAGTGCAACTCATGTGGATTAGGTTCTAGTGTTTAGTGCAAATCATGTGGATTAGGGTCTGGTTCGAGTTCAGGTGAAAAGAACCGAGTCAACTCAAATTGACCTGATTTTATTATAAAAAAACAAAAAAAAGAAGAGCCAGGAACTCAGTAGAAGGCGAAAGATTTTCAAGCGCAATGACTCGAGCCTAGTTCTATTCAGACTCAACTTCAAACCCACATTGGTACTAGATGAGAGACCATTTTCCTAGCCTTCCCTCGTCATTGGCAGTATTCCTCGTAGTCACATCAAGCCATTAACACAAGCCACAAGCAAAGAGAAGAGAAGACATAAAAGAAAACCCTTATCTCCATCACATTCGTCGTTCACGTCGCATCATACTTCAAGTTTTTCTTCCTCCTTGCATCGCATCAGACTTCAGCCTTCGAGTTCTTCCCTCAAGCAATCAGGGCCAGTAGCCTCCACATATTCGACATTCATGTTCGAGGTTTGTACTACAACAACCCAAGAGTTCTTCTTCTTCCTCCTCGTATCGCATTCAACATTCTTGTTCCAGGTTTATACTCCATAAATAAGAGTTTTTTAAAAAATTAATTTTGTTTGAACAACCCAAACCCAACCCAAAAGTATATAGGGTTGGGTTGGGTTGTGAAAGAATTATGGATTGGGTTAGGTTACCAATCCGGCCAATTGAACTTTTGGGTTTTTTCAAAAAAAATTCTCAATCCAACCCGACCAAACCCATGTACAACCCTACTGAGAGGGCTAGGAAAGAACTTGAGCTATAGAATTGGCTAACACTAGGAACCTTATTGAGAACATATCTTAAGAACACTAAATATGAGAAGTTTCGATAAGAGCCTAGAAATAGATTGTTTACTAAGTATTTTTATATTCATTCTTGCAATTCTTTACTTACAAATGGATCGTAGGACATGTTATGGATTATTGGGACCCACATTGGTTAATTTAGTGGAAGATCATGGGTTTATAAGTGAGGAATACTATCTCCATTGAAATGAGGCCTTTTGGGAAAACCTAAAGTAAAACCATGAGACCTTACGTCTTACCTAGATTTTCATCCAATAAGCTAAAACAATCTTAATTGGAGCATCAATTAGAGCAAAATGCATTACTATTCTATTAGTCTCTGTTATAAATACTCATCCACTCTAAGTGTCTTGTAATCTCTTTTCGATTGAAGATAGTAAAGATTGCGAGTGTTTCCTAGAAAGAGTTATGTTCAATAGACTGGTATCAGAGCAAGGTTAGTGTTGTCTAATCTCTTTGAATTCTTAATATTAGTGTTGTCTAATCTCTTTGAATTCTTAATATGATCTGTTGCAGCTGTATCTGCTGTATCTGATCTTCCACATCAGAAACGATTCCTTGAAATTATTAGTGAGTGAGTTTTTTTGTGTCGTGAGTAGTACTAAGGTATAGTGAACACGATGGGTGCTTTTTAAATCGTTGGAGGAATCAAGAAACTCAGCAACAACAACAACTACAACATGTGGGCAACATTCATTATGTCCTATTTACAAGAACAGAACCTTTGGGAGGTTGTTGGTGGCAGTGAAACTACGCCGTCAGAGGAAGATTCTAATGGCACTTTGTGAAAATAGAGAATCAAAGCAGGCAAAGTAATGTTTTCCTTAAAGACCATAATTGAAGAAGAGACGTTAGAGCACATTTGAGATGACAAGACACCGAAAAAAGCATGGGACAGGTTTGTAATGTTGTTTTCGAAGAAGAACGATATGAGGCAACAACTTCTGGAGAACGAATTGTTATCAATCTCACAACTGACATTATGATTACTCAGTACTTTCACAGGATCAAGTCGATCTGTTGGGAGATTACTAAACTAGACCCAAAGTCCGTCATTGGAAAAACTCGAATAAAGAGGATCATTATCTACGGATTGCGACTAGAATATAGAATCTTTGTTATGACTATAGAACAATGACCCCCTCAACCATCACTTGTAGATTTTTAGAATTTGTTAGCCAGTCAAGAACATGGTTCTAACAGTTATATATTGTAAACTATTTTTTCGTTGACTTTACATACATGTTTTGTACTTTTAAGATTTTTAACATTTGAATTTAATCCTTGTGTCTTCTGTGTTAGGGTTTAGGGTTTGAATTTAATTACACGAGATCAACCCATTTATGAAAGTTTAAATGAAACCTCCAAAGAACTCTTTATAATAGCTGCAAATTGAAGGTGCATGTGATCACTTAGAATTGAAGCTTTTCATTGATCGAAGTGTTATGAATGCCGTTTCTCAATAACAATAGGAGAAAATCAACTAAAGAAAATTTTGAAAGTTATAAATAATAATAGGAGAAACCACGTTCAAAATTCTAGAGCAACCAAACCAACCACAAAGTGTGCGTAAAACAACGACGCCAATGAGCAAAATCACAACAACAAGAACGATCATCTTCATCACTGGATTGATATATTTTTGAATGAATCTCTTCGCTTTCACTGTCCAGCAGCTTTTATAATAGCTATTGATATCTTTAACGATTTGAATCTCAGCCATGTTCTTGATTCTACCCGAGTTATCACTATGTTGGTGAAGCTCCAACACATTTCTTAGCCCATCGAACCGTTTCACTACTTTTTCTTCACTTTCTGAGTTAGTGAGGATAAAAGTTTGAAGTGTGTATTACTTGGAGTTAGTGAGGAGTCAAAGACATACAGAATTTATGATCCAGTCTGATAGAAACTAATTGTTTGTAGAGATGTGAAGTTTGAGGAAGAAAATGGCTCGAATTGGCATAAAACCCATCAAGAAGAAGTTATAGTTTATCTAAAATTGAGTAATGATGCCTGCAATGAAGTTGAAAGCTAGGATGATGAAGTATATAACGATGATTCATGTGAGTCAGCACAAGAACACTCATCTGCTGACACTAAAAGAAGAATTAGGAGGCCACCAAGATGGATGGATGATCATGAGAGTGGTAAAGATTTTTCTGAGGACGAAAATATTACATATCTAGCCTTGTTTGCAGGAGGTGGTCCTATTCATTACACAGAAGCCACCAAAAGTTCTAGATGGACGAGTCGAGGATGGTTCATATTCGTACACAAAATCAAGTTGCAGACATCATAACCAAAATTTTAAAACTTAATGTTTTTATGAAGATGCATGATATGTTGGAGGTTGGTTCAGAGTCAAATATAAACTAATGCTGCTAGCCTTCAGTTTAAGGGAGGATGTTAAAAGATTTAGTTTGTGATTATGTCATCTTCCACATGTGGACCGACTGGTAGGTCCATACTCGCATGTGTGGACCGCGTGTAGAAAAATTAAGTACACATCTCAATTGTTTGTTTAGGATAGTCGCCGTAGGAAAATAAACTGTTATGATAGATCCTATTCATTATATTGTATGTGCTTGCATTTAACTTCAAAGTGAGAGTCGCTTACTGAGTATTTCTTAAGTACTAAGCTATGTTCTACTCTATTTTTCAGCTAAAGGCAAGGTTCCCCTATACACGGCTGATGGTGAGATCGCAACAAAATATAGTGGCACATGGATATGGTAGTTGTAATTATTTTCTTAGAATTAGGTTAGAATAGGGTGTTTTTAATTTTAACACTTATTTATTTCATTTAGTATTTCGTTGTGTTTTTTAAATATGTTTTCGAACATGTAAGTCTATGACAGTGTTTTAAGATGAAGTTTATGTTTTATGATAAAGTTTAAACGCTTATTTTCACACAAAATGATTACGTTACGATGATAGTAGCGACTCTAAGTAAGTAGAAATCTAGGGTTGTTACAATTAGCTAATGTGGGATTCTCTACCAATAATTCTCAACAATCCTCCATCAAACAAAGTACGCTATATACCCTCACTTGAGGCAGCTCTCGAATAGCTCTCCCCTTAATTGAGACTCGACTCATTCTTTTGAGCCTTCGAACAAAATACACCTTTTGTTCGTCACTTCTCAATTGGTATTAAAAAAAAAGTTATATTCAATCAAATATGTTAGCATTTATCCTCGAGACAAGATTACATTATTTATATCTTAAGTGGAACTCAATTTAAAGAAAATAATATTTAAAATTTGGTCTTTTTTTAATCATTTTTAAGGTTGTCTTGTCCTTATCTAACCACATTTACAATGTCACTCAATCATTTTAAAAATAACTATTAATTAATTATGTCCCCTTCCACAACTAACCCATGTTCTCATCTTAAAAATAAAATAATAAATAAATAAATAAAATTGTTTGTTTCTCATATAATAAATATTAGAAACAATTGATATAGATCGTACCAGGTTAAGTTTACTTTTGGTTTCTCCAAAATGCCTCATTTCAATAGACATAGCATCTTTTACTTATATATTCACGAACAATCTTCGCCTCGAACAAAATATACCATAGAGTCTCCTTTTAAGCTCGACTCTTTCTCTAGAGCACTCAAATAAAGTATATCATTTGTTCGACACTTGTCTCTCTTTCTTTGGATTCCTCGAACAAACTCTCCTTAATTGAGGTTCAACTCTTTCTCTAGAGCCCTCGAACAAAATACACCCTTTGTTTGACACGTGGGTTACAATGACTACAGATTCGAGGCTCATAACTTAGTTATCTGACACTTGAGAATTCTATTGATGTGACTGAGTTAAAACCTCCATTATGGTATTATATTATTACTTTGAGCATAAACTAGTAAATTTACCTTTTGTTTCCTCAAAAGACTCATTCTGGTAGAGATAATAATGTCTCTTATTTAAATACCCATGAACCATCCTGACTAAAAAAACATTTATTTTGACATTAGTGATTAATCAAGAGTCTATTAAACTCGAGCTTCAAACAGCAAAGCATCATATTTGGCAGTAGAAAATGGCCGAAACGTCGGAGACGAACTGGGTTGTAGAAGTCGGTGAGCTTCTCCGGCGAGACGGTCTTCGAATGGCTTTAGAAACTCCAACTTCCATCTTCAAGCTGCCAGATTCAGTAACAAACCCACAAGCTTATACCCCTTCTCGTCTGCTTCTTGGGCCATTTCATGAGCTCAGCCATGAGCTTCACAAAATGGAGATCTTCAAGCTAGAGCAAGCAAAAGTGACCAAGGAAAGATTTCAGCTTCCTGAGCTCACTCTAATGGTGGATCAACTCAAGGAATTAGAGGTCCCGATTCGAGCCTCCTATGGCGCAAATTTGGCTATCGACTCGGACGCTTTGGCTTCGAGAATCCTCATTGATGGCCTGTTCTTGATTCAGTTGTTGCAAATCTCTGCAGATGAAAAAAATGATGAAGGTAATTAATCAAACTATCGTAATCGGTTAGTTAATGAGCTTGACTTAGAAAAAGAATTATTAAGCCACTAGAGAGATTTTAAGATAATTATTCCGTAATTATTGGTTTAAAAGTTTAAAAGATCGATTAAAAAGATTTAGTAGTTATTGATCTGAACGCCTCAAAAACCTAAGGATTTCTCCTCAAGGTTCGTCTACGGACGGTGAGTTAGGGCCTAAGATTAAGCCGAAAGATGAAGTCGATGGACAACAGGTGAATATTCTTGTACTACTCCTTGTTGGTCCAGAAGGACGGAGGAGGCTAGGTTAGCCGAAAGATGGTTATCGGTTCACGAACGCAAAGTGCCCCTGTTTTTTTTAGGGTAAGAAGAGTAGAGAAAATAAGTAGTTGATTTGAAGAAAGTTTAGGAGATTGGTGGTGTAATTTCCACCCTTAAATACTCATAACATAAGCATAATTGGTTAAGCTTCCTCCTTTCAAAAATTTCTTCTGATTTATCAGTTATTTGTTTCGATATATTTCAATCGTGGACAATTTCTAACAGGATCGTCTGATTGGCTTCATAATCGACGACATAAGCTCGAATTGCCAGTTTTCAACGAGCAAGAATTGTATCTAAAACTCGAGGGAAACATGGCGACATTGACCCGGAACGAGATACTAAAAGATTTACTAAAGCTCGAGAATCAAATTCCAATACAAGTACTCAAAAGGGTATTACCAAAAGATTTCACTGAAAATTTGCCTATTTTGTTCTACAAATTCTGCGTGTTCGTCTCACCATTATCACTGCCTTCAGCCGACAAATTTACAACATCTAATGACAATGTATTCCTTAATTTGTCCGAAATTCTGGACCAATCTCAACATTTGCTTCACTTCTTCTACGCTTTACTTTACTACCAAAGGTTCTTGGCTTACATGCCAAGCCAAGATTACAGGTCTGGATCTTTGTTCGTCGAGTTATTGAATTTGTTGGCTAAAGTTGTTCAAGTTGGCGTTGTTCAGCAGCTGGTTGAAGCTGTGGGTTTGATCCAAAGCTTAATTGGGATGCTTGGGAAAATCCATCACTCATCGCCATTCGAAACCGAAACCTCCCCCGGATTTCCTTCAGCTACGAAACTGAGAAAAGTCGGAGTAAAATTCCGCGGCGGCGATGGCGGCGGGTTCAACGACGAATCCGCCACTCTAACACTGCCCATCGTCACAATTAACGATTTCTACGAAGTAATATTAAGAAATTTGGTGGCATTTGAAGTCGAAGCGAAGTTGAATCCAAGTAGTTTATCGCATTACGTGAAATTAATGAATGGACTGATTGCTACAACGAAAGATGTTGGGATTCTCAAACGAGCTGGGATTATCGTCAGTGGTCGTTCGGGCGATGAAGACGATGTCGTAAAGCTGTTCAAGGACCTTGGAAATGTTGTCGTGAAAGGGGGTTTTGATTCAGAAGAGGGTCGGTCCAATTTCGAGTCGTTTATGAATTTTGAACGTCGGATCGGTGAAGAAATTGTTAAGTACTATGAAGGTCGATGGATGGTTAAAGGGGAAAGATTTGTGAAGAGATATGTTTTTCCTGTGCTGCAAGGCTTGATGATATTGGTGGTTGTAGTTCTTATTCTTATTGTGGCTATACGCACAGTTTGTGGTTGGTTTAGTTGTCCTAAGATCATGGGACATAGGATTATTAGCTCAGCATATGATATGCTTTAGTTTAATTTTTTTATTTCCTTCTTATGCTTTCATTCATGGTTGATTATGAGTAATCTCGATCGGTACAACTGAGTGAACTAGTTATACTATATTGAACATAACTCATTGTGCAAAACATTCGCACTCTTTATTAATATCAATCAAGAAGAGATTACAAGACATTCGAGTTGAGTAAAACACTCTTTATTAACATCAATCAAGAAGAGATTACTACTACAATTTGTTACATGAGTATTAGTGCTCAAGTGAGCTGCGAGACAGGATGTCTCACTATGAGGAAAAACCTGTGTTGGCTATATGAAATGAAACTACGAGGCTATTTTTGGTGCGGTAGTAAGGACTGTAAGGGTCTCGACAAAGTCAGGATACCTTCGATAAGGATCAAAGAGAGGGACATATCGAGGACTGCTTTCAAAAGCTATCATGAGCAAGGAGATTACTGATAAGTCCTTTCGACCTAATCAATGCCTCGCGGAGGTTTAGTTTTAGACAAACTGAATGTTCATAAAACTTTCTCGTTATCGTCATTGTAGTCGTCTTTGACGATATACCAGTGTACACCAAGAAGGAGTTAGTTGACAGGGAACACCCAAGGGGAGTTTTGATGGGGTTATGAGCACATAAATGGTACATCAAAATCTCCTAAGTGTGAGTTTTGGTCATCTAGGGCAGTTATGAGGTGGCCAAGACTGACCACTATCACTAAGGTACGAAGTTTCTGGAAATTTTATAGAAAACTTGTACAGTATATTTTCAGGATCTCTGCAATGCTTACACAGTTAATTAAGAAGGGCAAGCCCTTCGCTTGGACACCAGCATGGGAATAGAATTTCCAGGAACATAAGGAAAGGTTGGAGACTGCACCAGTCCTCATAATACCAAATGAATCAGACAACCTTGTACCGTATAGAGACGCCTCTGGTAAGGGTTTAGGGTGCGAATTTATGCTGTTAAGTTATGAAACCTATTTGTTATTTATAGCTTAGTCAATGGTTATATAGTAAAACTATATTTGGTAAATAACCTATAAAATAAATTGTCATAATAAAAGGTTATATTGGTAAAGCTATATACGGTAAATAGTTATATGTGGTAAACTGATTCTAATAAGCTAAACCATATATAAATAGTTATATATCAAAGATTTAAAGTTGTACTTTCTATATTTTCTGTATTCTCTCCTACTGTATATACTTGAAGTCATCAATACAAATCCTTTAGCCAATATTCTCATTGCATTTTTTCTATGTTATTTGTGTTCATCTAGATCGAGTGTGTGCATTGTTGTGCGATCCTAACATACGCTTCAAGGCAACTGAAGGAGCACGAACGAAATTACCTACTCATAATCTTGAATTAGCTGCGATAGTGTTTCCCTTGAAGACGTGGCGAAAAAATTGCAAGTATACACTGACCATAAGAGTCTCAAGTTTCTGTTCACTCGGGAGGAATTGAATATGAGACAGAGAAGATAGTTGGAATTTGTAAATGATATGATATTGAAATCATACGTCCTTATTGGCACACCGCTTCGTGTCTACCCCCTTCGGAGAACAGCGAGAAGGTTAACACATCGTCCAATGTCTAGTTCTGATACAATTTGTAACGGTCTAATCCCACCGCTAGCAAATATTGTCCTTTTCAGGCTTTCCCTCTCGAGTTTCCCCTCAAGGCTTTAAAATCCGTCTGCTAGGGAAAGGTTTCCATACCCTTATAAAGGGTGTTTTGTTCTCCTCCCCGTTCTTCTCCCCAACCCGACATCACATGGAAGAAGAATAAAGTGAGTCCTTAATTTAATTATCTTGATTAAGAAAATGATTTTATATGTTAGAGATTTGGTTATAGATTTTTCTTCTTCCATAACTCCCATAATTTTCTTAAGATATGATTCAATAAGAAGATATTTTATTCAACTTTATAATCTCTTCCCTCTTATCTCAACCTAAATGCAATCATTCTTCCCCAAAACATGGCCTCCAACTCCAAAGAGCTTCACAAAACACCCCATGAAACCCATTGGGTTGTTCATATCACCCAACTTCTCCAACCAAATACCCTCCAAACAGCCTTACAAACGCCCACTTCCATCTTCAAGCTGCCTAATTCCATCACCAATGGCATGCCACAACCTTACTTACTTCCCTCGCCACATTGCACTTGGGCCTTACCACCACTTCACAAACAAGCTCTACCAAATGGAATTACACAAGCTCGATAACGCAATCAACGCAATAGAATCATTCAAACTCCCCCAACTCCATCAAATCGCTGCTGATCTCGAGCAATGCGATATCAAAATCCGATCTTGTTATGACAAATTTCTCGATTTCGGGTCCGAGGCGTTGGCTTGGATTATGCTCATAGATGGGTTGTTTTTGGTTCAAATTCTAGCCATTTCCAATGATAAAATAGATGAGATCAGAAGATCGTATCCTCAACTTTATTACCCTTCTCCATTTCCTTCGTTTGTTGAACAAAAGTTGTATGGTTGTCTAATTGAGGCAAATTTGATGACCCAAGATGAATTAGTGAATGATATTCTTAAGCTCGAGAATCAAATTCCTATTTTTGTTCTCAAAAAAAATTTTCCACAAGATTTGAGCAACAATTTGCATATCTTGTTGTTCAGATTTTGTGAGGTTGTTTCCCCCAAGAAGCTCCCTCCTCATGATCTTATTGAATTCAAGCGTTACAATGGCTCCACTGATGTATACCAAATTCTTGAACAATCTCATCATTTGCTACACTTTTTGTATCTTTTGATATTGGATACAAGTTCGCATATTCGTGATCCATGTGCAATGGCAGATTCTGGTGGTTATTTGTTTTTGGATTTGTTTAGTGTTTTTGTTTCTGTGCTACAAATTCCCACCTTACAGCAGCTGAGTGAAGCCGTGGGTTTGATCCAAGCCTTGTTTGGTTTACTTGGGAGAGTTTGGTCATCGTGTTCTTTCACCGGCCAGGATAGGAACAGCCCGTGGTTGATCCCGTCGGCCGAGCAGCTTAGACGGGTCGGAGTCCTGTTAAATGGCAACGATAAGGCCTTCCATAAAAGCATCAGGTTTGTTAAATCACTCCCTAACCCAAACGTTTAAGCGAGTTTTTTTTTTTGTAAGCATTCTTTATAAGGGTGTAGAAACCTTCATGTATAGACGTGTTTTAAAATTGTGAGGCTAATGGCGATATATAACGAGTCAAAACAGACAATATCTGCTAATGGTAAGCTTGGACTATTACAAATGGTATCATAGCTAGCACTGAACAATATAAGGGTGTGGAAATCTCTCCTTAGCAGACGTGTTTTAAAACTGTGAGGCTGACAACGATATGTAACGAGCTAAAATAGACAATATCTGCTAATGGTGGGCATGAGCTGTTACAAATGGTATCAGAGCCAGCACTAGGCGATGTGCCAGTGAGGATGTTGGGTCCCAAGGAAGGTGGATTGTGAGATCCCACATTTGTTAGAGAGAGGAACGAAGCATTCCATATAAGCGTGTGGAAACCTCTCCCTAGCAGACACGTTTTAAAACCGTGAGACTGATGACGATATGTAATGAGGTAAAATAGACAATATCTGCTAACGGTGGGCATGAGCTGTTACAAATGATATCAGAGCCAGCATCGGGTGGTAAGGAGGGTGAATTGAGAGATCCCACATTGGTTGGAGAGGAGAGCAAAACATTTCATATAAGGGTGTGGAAACCTCTCCTAGCAGAGGTGTTTTAAAACCGTGAGGCTGACGACGATATGTAACGAGCAAAGCGGACAATATCTGCTAGCAATGGGCTTGAACTATTACAAATGGTATCAAAGCCAACACTGAGCGGTGTGCCAATGAGGACGCTGGGTCCCCAAGGAGAGTAGATTGTAAGATCCCACATCTGTTGCAGAGGAGAACGAAATATTCCATATAAGAGTGTGGAAACCTCTTTCTAGCATATGCGTTTTAAAACTGTGGGCTTAGGCTATTATACTCACGCAGTTTAAATTTTTGGATTGGTCGGTGATTTAACTACTTATTCATAGTCCTTCAACAAGGTTTAAGAAAGAACGACCAGAACCTTGGTTCAAGTTGCCAACGATCACCATTAACGCCTTCTCAAAAGTAATATTCAGAAATCTAGTAGCGTTCGAAGCAGCAACTAAACTAAACCCGCCATACTTAAGCAAAGATGTCAAGATATTGAAGGAAGGAAGCATAATTGAGAGCCATGTAGGAAGTGAAGAAGAGGTAATGAAATTGTTTGATGGATTGAGAAGTGTGTTGGAGCTTAAGAACATGGCTGAGCTTCAAATGGTTAAAGATATCAATAGCTATTAAATAGCTATTATGAAAGCTGTTGGAAGGTGAAAGCCAAGAGATTCATTCAGAAATCTATCAATCCAATGTTGAAGGTGAGAGTTCTTATCGTTGTGATTTTGCTCATTGGTGTCGTTGTTGTAAGCATGTTAAGTCAACTACAAAATAGTTTACAATATGACTTCTTGATTGGCTAACAAATTTTTGAAGTCTACCAGTGATGTCTTGTGTAGTAATAACAAAGCTTCTATATTCTGGTTGCAATTCGTGGATAATGGTTCTCTTCATTTGATTTTCTCTAATGATGGACTTTGGGTCTAGTTTAGTAATCTCCCAATAGGTCGACTTGACCCTGTGAAAGTACTAGCAATCTTCATATCACGTTGTGAGATTGATAAGAGTTCGTTCTCCAGAAGTTGTATCCTCATATTGTTCTTCTTTGAGAACAACATCATGAATGTGTCTCATACTTCTTTCGGTGTCTTGTCATCCCAAATGTGCTCTAACATCTCTTCTTCGATTGTGGTCTTCAAGGCAAACATTGCTTTGCTTGTTTTAATTCTCTATTTGTACAAGGCGCCATTAGAATCCTCCTCTAGAAGCGTAGTTTCACTTTCATCAATGACCTCCCAAAGGTTTTGTCCTTGTAAATAAGACGTCATGCATCTTGCCTACGTGTTGTAGTTGTTGTTGTTGCGTTTCTTGATTCATCCAACGATTTGGAAATCACTTATCGTGTTGGCTATATCTTAAAACTACCAAACAAGTTTTTTTGACACAGAACTTGCAGAGTCACAGACTACTCACAACACAAAGAAACTCACTCACCGATAATTTCAAGGAATCATTTATAATGTGGAAGATCAGATACAACTGCAACCACAGAGCATATTAAGAATTCAAAGAGATTAGACAACTTACACTAACGTTGCTCTAATACCCGTCTATTGAACATGATACCAGTCTATCAAACACAACTCTTTCTGGGAAACACTTGCATTCTTTATTGATGTCAATTGAAAAGAGATTACAAGACATTATGTAGAATACTACTGTAGTTTGTTCATGCATTAGGACCTCAAGCATTAATGTGTGCTCATGTATTGGGGGATATCCATATTTCTTCACGATGGTACGAATATGTACACTATTAGGAGGAGAACGACCATTATGTTTTACATAATGTTACCGTGACGGCTTCTACTTCAAACGGGTGTCCGACATAGAGAGCTCCCAGAGTATGCTTACCTGACAAAGAAAGGGGTACAACAGTGTGCAAATCGACTAGTGGGTCCATTTTCGCACGTGTGGGCCGTGTGTAGGAAATGAATTATATTTTATTTTTATACTATTTCTTTGTTGTTTTCTCTATATTTGTTTATTCCAACGTAATAAATGAAGTAGGAAATTAATGTTGAATTTATGAGAAGACTCCAAAACATAACTATACCTCATCAAAACCTATCTCTAATTAAGGTCTCAAGTTGGATAACGTGGTGGGTTAAGAGAGGATTGGTCTTTACCCAAGTAGTTGACTGACTTCAATGCTCTCTGAAGTTTAGGACATTGTTTAATGGTAATAGATATCAATAACCATGAATTTAATAGTCACTCACCCTGTTGACTCCTTCTCGATTGGGAACTTTAAAACCCAGCTACTATCCATTATTTCATGATGTTGTCCATTTTTGAGCCTAAGCTCTCATGACTTTGCTTTGGGCTTCCCTAAAAGGTCTAGTACCAACGGAGATAGCATTCCTTAATTCTAAACCCATGATCATTCCTTAAATTAGTCGAGGAGTCCCACATCCACTGATTAAGAGGTTGATTGTGAATTTATAAGTAAGAAACACTATCTTATTGGTACGAGGTCTTTGCTATCTTTTAATTGATCAGCTCGTGCCAGGTGAGAGCAAGAAGAAATCCATTAGAGAACAAAAAAACTTGGAAGAAAATAACAGGAAAAACAAGAAAACAAAAGCCCAAGACATTGTGTAGCCTTTTGAAGAAACTAATGTTAAGATCGCACAACAAGCACATACTCGATCTAAATGAACACAATAAACAAGATAGAGAAAATGCAAAGAGAATATTGGCTAAAGTTTATTTTTTTTTTTGTATGGATGACTTCAATCATGTACCGTAAGAGAGAATACAGTACATCTTCAGAACTCTGCGTCATGTGTATATATATATATGATTTAGCTTATTATATATAGATTTACCCGATATAACCATCTACTACATATATAGTTTACAACTATTTACTTTATATATTATTTACAACTTAATTATGTATACGTGTTCTATGGGATACATAACCTAACCACTTTAAAGCAAGTCATAAAAAGCAGAGTCCATAACTTAACAACTCATGCCATAAGAAAGTCGATAATATGCTACTATTGTAGAGGGAGTGGTTTCTAACATGTCAAAACAAAGCCATAAAAGCTTATGCAAAGTCGATAATATCATACCATTGTGAAGGTTGTGGTTTTTAACATGTTCGTGTTTCCTTTTAGCACACAATTTCGGGTGTCGCAACATGGCGGACATAGCTAAGGAGTACCCAAGTTGGCAAGCACAAGATGATGAACTCAAATTAATTACTTCCATGCAAAGGCCATGGACAGATGGGTTCATTAATTTCTTCTGCAACCCACCGCTTTGTTCATCCTATAAATACACCAATCCTTAACTCATAACACAAATAATTCATCCATGGCTGAGTTGAGGTTTACATCAATGTTGTTGCCTGTTTTGGTGCTGCTACTTGTGGCGGCGGCCGCGGCGGCTTTCGGCCAGAATGGTAGTACGGACGGCGGCGGAGGGAGGCCGGCGATGGTGCCTGCCATGTTCATATTTGGAGACTCTTTGATTGATAATGGGAATAATAACAATCTTCCGACGTTTGCAAGAGCTAACTATTTCCCTTATGGTATTGATTTTGCTGATGGCCCAACTGGTCGTTTCTCCAATGGATACACTATTGTTGATGAAATAGGTATGTTTTTTCGTCTCTTTCTCTCGAACCCGTGTTCGAAAAATTCGATCAACCTAACCCAAACTCAATTCGTACGATTTGGGTTTGGTTCAAATAAGCGAAAAAACTTTATGCAATTGTTGTTTTATAAATTCGTGTTCAAAAGTTTCGATTTCTTGAAAAAATCGATCAACCTAACCTAATTCGTACGATTTGGGTTGGGTTCAAATATGCGAAAAAACTTTAGGGAATAGTTGTTTTATAAATTCGTGTACTCAAAAAATTCAATCAACCTAACCCAATTTGTATGATTTGGGTTGGGTTCGAATAAACGAAAAAACTTTATGGAATAGCTGTTTTATAAATTTGCTCAAATTCGTGTTCTTGAAATTTTTGATCCACCTAACCTAATTTGTACGATTTTTGTCGGGTTCAAATAAACGAAAAAACTTATGAAATAGTTGTTTTATAAATTCTCTCAAATTCATGTTCAAAAATTTCGATTATCTGAAAATTTCGATCAATCTAATCCAATTCGTATAATTGAGTTCAAATAAATGAAAACTTTATGAAACTATTGTAATTTAATAATTATTTTATTATTTATTTTCGAACAAACTCTAGATAATTTTTTATTGTTTGAAAGTTGATTTTTCAAAGTATGTATTTAAATTGAATTATAAGTTTTAATTAAATATTTAAAAATAAATAAATAGATGTTTTACGAACCCAACCCAACTTGTTGTTGCTTGCTAGTTATTTGGATTGAAAAAATTAGCAATTGGAACAATTGGGGTTAAGTTGGTTCTCGTTACTCGCTTCGAAAAATTAACAATCTGAAGTATATTGATTAAAGATATTGGGTTGTATGAATAATTTGTGCAGCGAAGCTCTTAGGACTACCCTTAATTCCTCCGAGCGCAGCTCCAGCAACTGGACCACTACGCGGACTAAATTATGCGTCGGCTGCTTCGGGAATCCTCGATATTACTGGAAGAAACTTTGTAAGCGATCACTCAAAATCTAAGTCAATTCAATCATAACTTCATTAGTTAAGACATATGCATAACGTCCTGATGCAGATCGGTCGCATACCCTTCAATCAACAAATAAGGAACTTCGAGAACACGCTGGATCAAATAACCGGCAACCTCGGCGCCGCCACGGTGGCTCCCGTGGTGGCTCGCTGCATATTCTTCGTTGGAATGGGCAGTAACGACTACCTTAACAACTATCTAATGCCTAATTATCCTACCAGATCTCAATACAATAGCCGGCAATTCGCCGATCTTTTGACCCAACAGTACACTCAGCAACTCAGCGTAAGATACTCACCACTTCTCTTATCTTATAAGGGTCTATTTTCTCAGACTTTTAGAACCTATGTATGTTATAGAGGCTTTACAACCTCGGAGCTCGGAAGTTCATTATCCCCGGTATCGGAACAATGGAGTGCATTCCCAACGTATTAGCTCGAAGCTCCGATGGAAGATGCTCGGAAGAAGTAAGCCAGCTCGTTCGAGATTTCAACGCGAACGTTAGAATAATGATTGGAAACTTGAATGCCAATCTTCCCGGTTCGAGGTTCACTTACGTTAATATTGCTCGTATGAATGGTGATATCCTTGCAAATCCTAGAGCTTATGGTACTGATTTCAGACAAGTTTGGTTATGTTTATACTATGATTAAGGCTTTAAAACAAGGGTGTTTGATTGTACAACGTAGGATTCACAGTGGCGGATCGTGGGTGCTGTGGGATTGGGAGGAACAGGGGACAGATAACATGTCTTCCATACCAAATGCCTTGTCTGAATCGAGACCAGTATGTGTTTTGGGATGCGTTTCATCCAACTGAGAGAGTGAATATCATCATGGCAAGAAGGGCTTTCAATGGCGACATGTCCGTTGCTTACCCTTTTAACATACAACAGCTTGCCAATCTTGATATCTAAGTACTTGGGAGCATATACATGCTTGTGTATTGGATGCAATATATCTACTTTTTTTGGGTTTTGGAGAAAGACGATGTATATATAGCGTCGAGAAAGTTTAAGAATAAATGAACGGTTGGAGTTCACGTTGACTAATTAAGGATCGTGAGTATGTAAGTAAGAGAAACTATCTTCATTGGAAGGAGGTATTTCAAGAAAACCAAAATTAAAGTCATGGAAGTTTATGCTCAAAGTGGATAATATCATACTATTGTTGATGTTCGTTGTTCCTATTAGTGGTATCAGAGTCTTGTTGTGTAATAGCCCAAGTCCACCGCTAGTAGATATTGTCTGTTTTGGCTCGTTACGTATCATTGTCTATTAGAGAGAGGTTTCCACACCCTTATAAGAAATGCTTCACTCCCCTCTCCAGCGTCCTCATTGGCACACCGCCTAGTGTCCACCCCCCTTCGAGGCTCAGCGTCCTTGCTGGCACACCGCCCAGTGTTTAGCTCTGATACCATTTGTAATAACTCAAGTCAATAGATTGTAAGATCTCACATTGATCGAAGAGAGGAATGACATCGATTAGAGAGGGGAACGAGTGCCAACAAAGATGTTGATCCTTGAAGGGGGTGGATTGTGAGATCCCATGTCGGTTGGGGAGGAGAACGAAACATTCTTTATAAGAGTGTGAAAATTTCTCCATAGCAAACACGTTTTAAAAACCTTGAGAGGAAGTTTGAAAGAGAATGCCAAAGAAGACAATATAAGCTTGCAAGGGACTTGAGCTGTTACAAATGGTATCAAAGCCAAACATCAGGTAATGTGTCAGTGAGGAGGTTGAACTCCAAAGGGGGTGGACACGAGGCAGTGTGCCAGCAAGGAAGCTGGGCCCCGAAGGAGGTAGATTGGGGGGTCCCACATCGATTAGAGAAGGGAATGAGTGTCAGCAAGAATGCTAGTCGCCAAAGGGGGTCGATTTCTTACAAATGGTATCAAAACCAAACACCGAGTAATGTGTCAGCGAAGAGGCTGAACTCCAATGGGGGTGGACGCGAGACGGTGTGCCAACAAGAAAATTGGGCCCCAAATGAGGTAAATTGGGGGGGTCCCACATCGATTGGAGCCCCAAATGAGGTAGATTGGGGAGTCCCACATCGATCGAAGAAGGGAACGAGTGTCAACAAGGATGCTAGTCGCCAAAGGGAGGTGGATTGTGAGATCCCATATCGATTGGGGAGAAGAACGAAACATTTTTTATAAGAGTGAAAAACTCTCCTTAACAGACGCGCATTAAAAACCGTAAAGGGAAGCCCGAAAGGAAAAGCATAAGGAGGACAATATCTGCTAGCAGTAGGCTTGCGCTGTCACAGTTACTGAGAGCGGGTCTAACATCGCTAAGCACTTCAAAAGTTTATAAAAATGCATCCTACGCACAAAGCATTTACAAAAAAACCGCATCATTTCAAGATAATACCCTTAAAAATCATACTAAACTCAGCTGATCCCGTTGAACAAATACAGGAATAGATTCTTTGCAAACCAAAAGGGTCTAGAAGTAAGAAGCATTCAATTCTCATTGTAGCAACAATTTTTCTTTTGTGTAAGTTTTCAACAAACCCAACAAATGTAATTAAACTTGAAGTTGAACAAAATTTATGCATAATGCTTCCCAAATACATCAAAGTCCCCAGTCATTTCCCTTTCTTCTCCACTTAACGAACACGGCGATCTTTCTCTTCCTGTCCGAGTCCAAGAGATTTCTGAGCGTTTGCAATACCTTCAGGGTCTGGTATGGGGGATCAGATGTGTTAACGAACAAAACATTGAATAATGGCAACCGTTGATTTCATTACATTGTCAAAGGTAATACAGGATGTGATATAGAATCAACTCAAGGAAAAGTTTTGGAACGGATTACCTTAATGATCAAGATCAAGAGTAAAGAAAACTTGTTTCTAAACTCGTGATTCGAATCACTCTACAAGAAGTTTGATCAATACCACTTGAATGACTCTATAATACAAGTTCTAAACAGTTGATTTCATTTTGTCAATGGTAATACAGGATGTAATATAGAATCAACCCAAGGGAAAGTTTTGGAACAGATTATCTTGATGATCAAGATCAAGAGTAAAGAAAATTCGTTTCTAAACTCGTGATTCGAATCACTCTACAAGAGGTTTGATCTATACCACTTGAATGACTCTAGCATGCAAGTTCTAAACAGTTGATTTCATTGAATAATGACAACCGTTGATTTCATTAACATTGTCAATGGTAATATAGCATGTGATATAGAATCAACCCAAGGAAAAGTTTTGAACGGATTACCTTAATGATCAAGATCAAGAGTAAAGAAAACTCGTTTCTAACCTCGTGATTCGAATCATTTCATAAAAGGTTTGATCAATACCACTTGAATGACTCTGACATGTAAATTCTAAACACAAGAATTTACCAAATAAAAGTTTAGCTCTCAACAAAGCTAAAATAAAAACTCTATTCTTTTCAATTTCAATTCCAAAATGTGATAATTTGCACAACATTTGCTTCACATCTTCCTTCAAGTTCCTTCAAGTTTATTTTATATGATTGATACCTTGGTTACATTTGCTTCACATCTTCCTTCAAGTTCCTTCAAGTTTATTTTATATGATTGATACCTTGGTTCATATACATGATAAACAAAGTATTGTTCCTATTAGAAGTATGAATTATGGTCCATTGTCGGCGTCAAAAAGTCCTATACGTACGTTAGTTTAATTTCGTGCCCGAGTAGAGTGCAAATCCGAACTTGCAAAAGAAAAAAAAAGAAAGAGGTATACATACCAAAGAACTGTGTGAAAATGCGAGTGAAGAAGTGTAAGTTCCTGGAAGCATTGTACGCCATGGCTGGTGGAAGAGGTTTGACAATGGTGTCAATGCTAAATACTCGTTGAAGAAACTGCACCACAGAAAATTTTAAGAACTTGCTATTAGTTAAAAACAATTTCATAATTTAATATGAACATATTTCTAAGGTTAATTACTTCCCAATTAATAAGGAAAGCACTCCAAGTACAGTTAAGGAATGCTTCGTCCTCCTCTCCAACCGATGTGGGATCTCACAATCCACACCCCTTAGGGGCCCAGTATCCTCGCTGGTATACCGCTCAATGTTTGATTCTAATACCATTTGTAACAGCCCAAGCCCACCACTAACGGACATTGTCCTCTTTGGGTTTTCCCTTCCGAGCTACCCCTCAAGGTTTTAAAACGCGTCTGCTAGAGAGACCCTTATAAGCAATGTTTCGTTCTCCTCTCCAACCGATGTGGGATCCCACAATCCACCCTCCTTGGGGCCCAATGTCCTCGCTGGTACACCGCTCAGTGTCTGGTTCTGATACCATTTGTAACAGCTCAAGCCCACCGCTAACAGATATTGTCCTCTTTGGATTTTCACTTCCGAGCTACCCCTCAAGGTTTTAAAACGCGTCTGCTAGAGAGACCCTTATAAGCAATGTTTCGTTCTCCTCTCCAACCGATGTGGGATATCACAATCCACCCTCCTTGGGGGCCCACTGTCCTCGCTGGTACACCGCTCAGTGTCTGGCTCTGATACCATTTGTAACAGCTCAAGCCCACTGCTAACAGATATTGTCCTCTTTGGGTTTTCCCTTCCGAGCTTCCTCTCAAAGTTTTAAAACGTGTCTACTATGAAGAGGTTTCATTCCCCTCTCCAACCGATGTTTTAAAACATCTTTATAAATAATGCTTCATTCCCCTCTCCAACCGATATTGGATCTCACGTCTCCTCTCTTCCAAATACTCCAAACCCTCGTCATATCATGCTCTCAGCCCCACTAGATATGAATGCACTCTCATTTGATTGGTCCAAGCCACCAGCCAACTTCTCTTCTACATCCACATCTCTATTCCCATTTAGAGTCATCTTTCGACTAATCACCCAAACGCCCACCCACACATGTTAGAGAATCAATCCGCTAAGGTGTTTCTTTTTTCTTTTATAGCGGTTTGTAGTGAAAATTTTCTAAGCACACTCCAGTTTGTTATGAATCACGACTCTCCACAATGGTATGATATTGTCCACTTTGAGCATAAGCTCTCATGACTTTGCTTTGGGCTCCCCCAAAAGACTTCATACCAATGGAGATAGTAGTCCTCACTCATAAACCCATGATCATTCCCTAAATTAGCCAAGGTGGGACTCACTCCCAATAATCCTCAACAATCCACCCCTCGAACAAGGTACACTATAAGCCTCCCCTGAGGCTTATGGAGCTCTCGAATAGCCTACATTTAATTGAGGCACAACTTTTTTCTCTGGAGCCTTCGAACAAAGTACACCCTTTGTTCGACACTTTAGTCACTTTTGACTACACCTTTGAGACTCACAATTTTTTATTCGATATTTGAGGATTCTATTGACATAGCTAAGTTTAGTGACTCTGATAGCAGAGAAATTTGGTAGAATTCTTTGGGAGAAAAGAACTTTGTATTACTACGAAGGAATGCTTAATTGATTTTCTACAACTTCCACAAATGCCAACATACATATATATATATAGGTAATTTGGGACATCCCCATTACCATTCATTATCCAAAAGTCATGCACCTATTTAATTAGAAACTAATGAACCTATTTAATTAGGAACTAATGAACCTACATGTATCTATTCATACATGTCCTTATACATGTATCTATACATGTACAAGTGACCCTTCAACACATGTATCTATTTATATATGTATCTACTAGTGACCCTTCAACACATGTATCTATTCATACATGTATCTACTAGTGACCTTAAGATGTAGTTCAAGAAGATGAAGTGAAGTCCTAAGCTGAATTCTTTCTGCAGAATTCAATTTAAGGGAGGGTGTTAAAGGGTCACTAGTAGATACATATATGAATAGATACATGTGTTGAAGGGTCACTTGCACATGTATATATATATATATATATATATATATATATATATATATATATATATATATATATATATGTTGGCATTGGTGGGAGTGGTAGAAAATCAATTAAGCATTCCTTCGTAGTTCTACAAAGTTCTCTTTGTTAGACGAACATGATTTTCCTCAATGGTATGATATTGTACAC